TGAACTTGTTGAATGGTGTTGAGAGGTCAAGAACAATGAAAAGAGAAATGGTTGTTGTAGTTCGAGACCTTATCCATTCTCAGCAGTGGTAGCATCTAAAGCTTAATTGGGATGAATTCAGAGCAACAAGAGACACAGAGGTAGAGATAGTGAGTATCTGACCATACTGTAGGAGATTTGGGCTGTAGAGGGAAGAGAGAAGAGATGGCACAGTAGCTAATGTGGGACATGGGGTGGAGGAAGCACGCTGGTTTGTTCATGTGTTTTCCCAGATATGAGACACTCGAGCCCATGTGAATATTCATGGGAATGAACCAGAATAGAGAGGGAGAAATTGATGTTGCAGAGGAAGACTGCGCCTTTGAAACAGTGAAGTCTTTGACAAGGTGAGTAGTATCAGAATGTGTAGCCCAGGTAGAAGAGCTGGCGTCACACGAGGACTGAGGCCACTGATGGAGAGGCCAGGTAGAGGGTGTGCCAAGAAAGGTGCAAAGGTGAAAGACAGATGAGGAAGCTCAGAGCTGACAATTTTCCCAGTGAAGTGTGAGACTTGACCATCATTTAAGAGCGGATATTGCAGGCAACAGCCGTGTGGGGAGAGCAGAGAATATGTAAAATATGATCTTAGAGAGAGGGCAAGCGCACATGCCAGAGAGGCACACTAATATCTGGGCAGCGTGGAGTGCTCTTTAGAGATTTGTGCCCTGGAATTCAAAAAGAGTCCAACAACGTAATTGCGTACTATTCTCCAGCCATTTTCACTAGTCCAGTTGAGGCAAGGAGTGTTTAGGTGGTTGACTTTATCCATCCTTGTGCTTGTCAGGTGAGACTGACAGAGGCCAGGGAGTGAGTGTACTTAAAGGAGAAAGATTACAGTGTGAGTCGTGTTACATCATCTGGCCTAGAAATAATGTCCAGACATAAGGAGAGTGGAAAACTGTGAAAAACTGATCAGGGAAAAGATTGGGCATCTCCATGAGGATGGAAAGTACTAGAAGAGGACTACTATGGATATGTGCCATAAGGAGAAGAGGTAACAGTCAGAGAAAGGACCAGTGAAATCAAGACCTCAAGGTGGACATATTTGTCGGAGAAGATCAAATTGATAGAACATGTAAGTGTCTGAATATGTTATGAGGTAATTTTTGGAATTATCAGAGATTTTAGGGTAAAAATTAGTGTTAAATATATGAACTAATCAAATAAAAAAGCAAAATAGTGTAATTATGAGAAATTAAAATATGAAAAAGGAAAAGTATAGTATTTGTAATATACTGCATGACCCAACTGTGAAAAGCATATATAATCATACTAATGTAAGTGATGGATATTAATCTACAAAAATGATACTATAACTGCATTAGAAGGCTAGGAATACAGGAAGGGTTTCGTTGTGCAGGTAGAGATGGTATTAGGAGTTAGAGATGATGAGAATTGAATGAAAATGTGCTACGTCCTCATTTTCCATAGTGGAAAGGCAAAAGATAACTGAATACATCAGAAAAACAGACAACATATTATATCAAGGCCGGATGCGGTGGCTCACACCTGTAATCCTAGCACTCTGGGAGACCGAGGAGGGAGGATTGCTTGAGGTCAGGAGCTCGAGACCAGCCTAAGCAAGAGCAAGACCCCATCTGTACTAAAAATAGAAAAAATTAGCTGGGCATGGTGGTGCGTTCCTGGAGTCCCAGCTACTCAGGAGGCTGAGGCAGGAGGATCACTCAAGTCCAGGAGTTTGAGGTTGCTGTGAGCTATGATGACGCCACACTGCACCCTTGCTTGGACAACAGAATGAGACTCTGCCTCAAACAACAACAATAAAACCAAAAAACCATCTTATGTGAAGATACTGAGGAAGATGTCAAAAAATGAACAAAAAAGTGTTAAAAAAATGTTTGGCTTGCCTGGATGAGTGTGTGGGGAAGGCAGGAGTGAGGACTAATATTTTTTATTAAGAAGCCTTATAGAACTTTTGACTCTTTAATTAATTCATATATAAATTGGATAAAGAATGAAAAACAAAATGTGAAAACTGCATGGATGTGTGACTACTTTCAGCTCTATAGTAAAATATGTCCCTCATTATTTGGGGACCATTGACCTAAATCCACATGTCTCTGGCAATAAAAGAGTTAACATCAGGTCTGTAAATTTGCTAAACCCCTGCTCCAGGGCATAAGGCAGTGTTACCCTCAACCAGACCTCCTTGAAAACATTCTGGTGGCATTTACTTGCTGGAAGATAACCAAGGAAGTTAGTTCTTATCTAAAAATATGTTATCAGAATATACCCACTTTGTCTAGATTGATTACTGTAAATAAACCTGGGTTCATTTTGGAGATGTGGTTGACTGCAGGAAGGAAGTTAGTCACATAAGTTCTCTACCTGTAGGACTAACAAAGTCTAAAAATTGAGAAGCCTCAAACCTAAAGGGCTTCCTTTGGTCTAACTTATACCGCCCACATAGTTAGAGCTCATCTGCACCCCAGCGTGAAAAAAAGACCTTTAGGAAGGTACATCTACCAGCGTGAGCCCCCTCTAAAGGTAGATTCTCTCTTTGTGCCTGTTTCTTTTGGAAAGCTTGATACAGAGTTAAGTTCTACAATTTATTTGACTCTGCTTTAACAACGTATCCCTCTGTGGTACTGCAGCCTTAGAAGCGCATGTGAAGTGAGGGATGCACCACCTCCGATGCTTCCATCTCTGCAGATTTACAGCTTTGGGTAAGGAAGGAATTTCATTTAAGCTATATCACTCAAGCCAAAAATTTGGACTACATGTTGGTAATATCTTGTTGTGCCAACTTGTACTATCCAGTTCTGACTTAGAAATTAACTCGTATTGGACACCCCTTGGGCACCACTTCAAACTTTGCAGGCTCACCTCTTACTACAGCTAGTGCTTCAGGAGCCAGTTCCATGCAGGCTTTCACTAGCTCTGTGAGGGTCATGTTCAGTGCTGCAGCCCATAATGAGTGCTGCGACTTTATTTTGTCCACTGTAGAGATCACATCGTTATCTTCCACACTAGATTATTAAATTGGAAGTTGGTATGTAACATAACCCCTGACATTCTCATGTCTTTGTGACTTCCCCATTCTGCCTGGAATAAGATATTATGAGTGTTAACTCCCTCAGAAGTTTCAGGAAAATCTAGGGTCTTCCACTGGGTCCTCCCAAGGTCAGGCCTCCAAGCTTGTATGCAAAGTCCACTCTTAACAGAACAGATTTTCCTATAAATGCCATTCCTATGTGACATTCTGGCTGCTCTGTCACAATTACTACTGTGCAGGGAGGTTTTCTGGCTTTTGTGGCAAACCCTGGAATGAAATACCCTGCAAATCCACCTCTTCATTAAAGACTCATTCATAGGCAACACAGATCACTTGGAATAATGCCATTATCTCCCTGAGTCTAAACACTCCGAAAATCTGCTACCAACTCCTGGCTAGTTTTTGAGCACTCAGTCCATAATAGGACCCATCCTGGTACTCTCCAAATCTGAGTGGTGAAGCTTGCCCTGTTTCCCTCCTCCTTAATTTCCTGATTTTTAATGACCGAAAATTTTAGTAACTAACTCTCCATTTTGGCCGTGTTGACACCATCATCATGTGTACAGTATGATGATCTTGGTGGGTATTCTTTACTCTGTCACTGCTTGCATCACTTCTCTAAGGCCAGTGGCCATGTATGTGCGCTGGAAGAAGCCCTAGACATCTCCCAAGCCCCAAGCACTGCACAAGTTATGAGGATTGCAAGAGAACATGTACGTTGGACCCTCACATGGCATCCAGAGCTATCAACTAACTAACAGGTTGGGCTCTGCTCACAACTCCAGTTCTTACATTAGTTCAACAAATCTCCCCCATAAATTCCCTATGTGATGGAGGGTTCTAGAGATGTAATATTTCCTTGGCCATTAATATAATATAGCTTTCTCTGCCCTGAAGCATCACAGCAGGATCGTATTGCATTTTAAATAGTTACCAAATGAAAGCAATTTCGAAGCAAAGTATTTTTAGAGAGAAGCCTGGTCTGAAGTTCTTCCTCTGATAGTTCAATCCTGTCACACCCCTCCCCACCCATATGTGTAAAAGCCAAATATCAAGAAGGTCCTGGCTTTTCTGTCTTGCTCCTTCAGGGTCTCCTCTGTCTGGGCCCCTCTCTCCTGCCTTGTCATCGCACATGGACAAGGCCTGCGGGAGAACGCCAGGCTGTCCTCCATCACGCTGCAGTGAAGAGAGCTCTGAGCTGACATAATTCCCTCATAATTGGAAACACCAGAAACGGCAATGTCCTGAGGAAAGGAGAGGAAGTGATGTAGAAAAAAGACCAAATTTAAAAGGATTTGATGACCAACCAGACACAAAAGCAGCGAGGAGGAGGAGTCTGTATGGGCTGAGAAATAAATGGAAAAAGTAACCTAGGGAGTAAGAGATGAGAAAGAAGACATAGTTATGTAGGACTAGATTTATAACTGGTCCAGGAAAATTTGGGCAGAGCAAAGAAAACTATGTTCATTTCCTTCCACGTGACACCTTCCCCCCTCAGCTTAGAAACTCACACCCAAGTCTGTTAAAACAAGGTGATGTGACATCTCAGGGAAGAGCATACGTGAATGTTCAGGATTGGCTTTTTCCCCATGAGTTCATCTTGCTAGGAATGAGGGGGAAAGTGGACCAAGTATGGAACCTTGTGTACATAACCTGGAACATCCCTGCACCTGGGCAAAGCAATGCCTTGAGTAGCCTGTGGGGGAGATGAGAAAAGAGGTCAGTTCATTCTCCTGGTGATTCCTCTGAGGGAAACTGTGGTTAGGGGCTAATGCTCGAAGAGCAATTGGGATGAAACTTGCTAAATTGTCACAAAGCAAAAGTACTTTATTCAAAATATGTAGTTTTGCATAATTTCCATGTCATACAATTAGGGGTCAGCAGTACTTTGTTGGGATGCAGACAATTAGACTATCAGAGACCTCATCTCATTCCTAACACAACATTACGGGAAAGCCACTGTAGATGTTCCGGGGGCACGTAGTTCAACATCGTCATATCCAGGGTCCCCTTCTTGTCCCTGGAGCAGCCAAGGGCTATCCAGTCCTTTCCCAGGGTCAGCTGCCCCTCTGAGGAAGTGCAGAGAAGAGCCTGAAACAGTACAGAGACATTGGTTAAAGATGTGACAGAGGGAGCGGCCAGAGCCCTGTGGTGGAAACACAGTCAGGGAAGTGGGGAGGACAAAGTTTCCCCAGGGGCCACCAATGCTAAGGAAGCTCAGGCTACTTAACATTAGTTACAGCAAGGAACACATCAGGGCGACCCCGTCAGGATCCAGTCCACGTGGGTCCCTGAGGCTTAGTCCCAGCTTATCTGGGACACACTGGATCACAGGAGATCTGTGGCCAAAGCAGGTGCCCTGTGCTGACCTATTTCCTGGCTTACACGATCAGCGAGGAGATGGGAAAGGAATTGGTAAGAATCCTAAGAGGGGAAGTGAAGATTTCTCCTTTCACACCTGACAACTCTGAATTCACAGGAACAAGGAAGCAGGATATGACATCTGGAGAAATGTGTTTCTCACTGACCATCCAACTGTGCACTTGGTGGCTTTGGTCTGTGTTCCCAAATGCCCACAGAACCATCGCAGAATCTGCCCACAGTTGCCCCCCACCCCAGGGAATCTGATAACATTAAGGAAAGGAATATGGTCAAGGTAATGGCGTGAAAAATATGAGCTCTTCCAATTTTTGAATCTGCAGGAATTATGAGCACTGAGAAACTCAAATTCCCTTTGTCCTGGAGAGAGACAGGAGATTACTGCAGACCCACTCATGCCACTCACCTGCCTGAGAGGCCCTGGCCACGTTCTCCTCCTGTGGGGGCAGCTCCCCCTCACTCGTCTGCGGGACGGGGGGCATCTCCATAACTGGCATCTCTGCAGCATCATCATAGCCGTCACTAGGTGCATCAGCCCCCTGACCCGGGGTTTCTGAGGACAGACGGGAGCAGGTGAAACCACAGTAAGTGGCTTGGCCTGGGCAACACCGACAGTCCCTCTACCCAGAGATTCTGACGGTTCATCAATGAAGGCACCATTCACTCCCTGTGTTAACAGGCCTTTCCAAGGCCAAAGCGTTCACAAACAGGACAATAATCCAATTATCCTAATATTTCTCCATGAAAACAGCATATTTCAAAGTCACTCTCATACCAGTGAGCATTTCTAAATATTAATCAAACATGTTGTCAGATTTTGCATCCCAGGTGTTACTTTTTTAAACAACGTGTGGGTGTTGTGACTGAACAAGAGTGGCGACAGGCACAAAGAACCGAGCCCAAGCATGAGACCTCACAGCGTCGCCAGAGAAGGGGGAGACTGGACCCCAGCTGGAAACAAGAGACCCCTCCAATCCCAGTCAGAGGAACACTGTCCCCTAAGGGCCTCATTCCCATGAGGGAAATTCCTCCTGCCCCTGAACCCAGCCAGGGAAGAGCCACCTCTGCTACCTGGAGTGGATTTATAGTCACCGTTGTCTTCAGCGTCTCCTGTGTAATATGGCAGTTTACTCGCTGAGTCGTCTGACAGGGACCCTAATGTGGAGAAAAACATCCCAAAACAAACAGAACAATGCCTCCCACACCCGTTGGCCTGTGCAAAGGCAGAGAAGAAATCTGGGGCCCATGTGGCTAGTGGGATGTGAGGAGAAGGCTCGGTGCTCCGGGGCTACCAAAGGGCCAAACCTGCAGCCTCAGGTGGCCAAACCTGCTGCCTCTGGGGGCCTGGGCCAGAGGTGGGTCTGCGGGTTCTGGGAAGACTTGGCTCACGGTGGCTGACAGCCAGGGGTCCCAGGAGGGCAAGGTGGGGACACACACCTGGGCTGCCCAGCAGATCCTCCCTCAGTGTCCCGAGATAATCGATCTCCTGGTACACAGGCTCGTCAGGGGCATCCTCGAAACTGGATAAGGCTGAGCAAAGCAGCGGGAGGTCAGAGATCACCACCTTAGACCAGCCTGGAATCAGCAGGCTAAGCCCTCACGTTCCCTGATGCTCACACGTGGAAAGCCCACAAGGCTGCCAGGACCCCTTGAAGGGCCCAGAGCCCATGCGGCATGTCTGCACCTGCTGACATTACTCACTTTGCATGCACAGCTCAGCTCCTACTCTTTCTTGCCTCACACAAGAGGCCATGACCTATGAGTACTCAGACCCCAATCCTAAGAGCCTCCTAACAGCCCTTAGAGTGCAGTGTAAGGCAGATGGAGTTTCCAAACTAATGGGGTGAGAAGACACCTAGCCCAGTTTTCCTCTTGCCACGCCTGGCCCCACTGCCTGCCTCCACACACTTCCTGGGCCACACAGTTGTCCTCCAGGACGCACCTCTGCCCTCTGCTCTCCATCGGTGCAGCTGAGTCCCCAGAATGACGAGCACCAGGAAGAGAAGGGCTCCCAGGACGAGGCAGAGGATCCCAGGCAGGGAGAAGATGCCAGGGACAGAAGCTGAGCCTGAACTGGCACCTGAGAAGATAAAAGGGTCACGAGCCTTTAGAGATGGTCGTAAACTCACAGATCCCCTGTACGCCGGCCATCTCCTGCGTCCTCAGGCCCATGAAGTCACCAGTTCAGAGTGGATGCATCTGCCTGCATCCCATGACGTGACCAGCCCAGGCCCTGCCCTGAGCTCTGTCAACTGTCTTCTGAATCCGGTTCTAAGGGATTTCTATGAAGTGAACGCCAGGCAACCTGTGCAGCTTTCTGGCTGCTACAACCTGATGAAACTTTATGGCTGCTCACAGCACCCGGTCATCAGGGCTACTGTAATTTCACACGAAGAAGGCAGATTCCACAGTGCAGGTCCCTGAAAATCTGGGTATCTCCTCTGTCGCATGGCCCAGAGCAGAAGAAACACTTACCTCCAGGGCTGAGTGGAACCATTGTCTTTTCACCTGGAGAGAAGAGAAGGAAAATGGGGTCACTGGACTGGGTTGGCAGGGAAGAGTCATTGGGTCGCACCTACCATCACTGGCACATGGTTCTCTCCCGGATGCCAGGAGATCAGACCCAGGCATCTCCAGAGCCACAGCACAGGGCAGCAGGTCATCCTAGGAAGAGCTTTTGGACGTGCACTCCCACTTGCTTCATCCCAGCCCATCCACTTGGTCCTGCTGCTCACCTGAGCACCTGACTCCTGCGTCCTCCTCGTGCTTGCAGTTGCTCCGCCCCCAGGGCTGCGCAGCACAGGCCCACAAGGAGGACTCGCTGCCCTTGCACCACACGTCGTCCAGCCAGATGCTTCCATTTCCCTGGCCAAACGCAGCCTCCCCCAGCGCGTCCAGGGCGGAGCCACAGCCCAGCTGCCGACACACCACCTCGGCCTCTGCCAGGCTCCAGGAGTCGTCACACACCGTGCCCCAGGAGCCTTCGTGCCAAACCTCCACTCGGCCTGAGCACACCCTGTCTCCTCCCCTGAGTCGGAGCTTCTCTTTGTCTGAAAAGGCAACAGCACATCCTGTTACCCCCTCACCCCTGGTGGGAGGGAGAGAGCCCCTGGGAGCAAAGAGAGGAGGTGAGGGGCTGATGTACCTGTGCAGGGGGCGGCAGCCGGGCAGCTCTCAGGTCTGGCTCCTGCAGAAGCAGACAATGGGGGAGCCGGATCAGGAGCAGCTGGGTGGCCCTGCCCCAGACAAGGTGCCTACTGTCCTTGGCAAAGTCCACGTATAAGTGCAAAGCATGCTTCATAACTAACCTTACAGGCTGAGTCGCTGGGATATATAATCTAAGTATAGCATGTCCTTGTCACTGGCTGCAATTATTTTGTCTGTTTACTTGTTTACCACTCTCCACATTCATGCAACACAGAGAGATACACACACACAGAGGCACGCGCATGAATGAAAGCTCCACTACAGACAGGAGCTCACCCATCTCATTCCCCTGTTCCTGCTCTCAGGACGGAGCATCACCAACGAGTCTCTATGGACAGCCTTCTGTGAAACTGTGATTAGGACTTGATAAATAGTTATCAAGTGAATGAATATATGAGTAAATTCCACCGAAAAAGTTCCATTAAATTCTTCTAATTGGTAAGATATTAAAGAAAATATAAACTGATGTGAATGGTTTGTGATAATAAATAGTGGGTATTAAAAAAAAATTATTCCAAAATCACAGAAGTAATTTGTATTCAATATTCCATTTATTTACTTTTTAATGGAAAATTATAAACTATTCAAAGCTATTCTTATCTATTTTTCAGTATGACATGTGGGCTAGAAAAGGAGATTACTACAGTAAGAGGAAACATTGTTAAAATAGGATATTTAAAAAATAGAACAGATACAGAGCAAGATAGATAAGTAGACAAATAACTATTAGACAGGAATGTCTGCATGAGACTAAATAAATATACTGAGAAAAAATACATCAGGAAGACACAGAGATAAACACAGGACCAAAAAATACATAAAATACTTGCAACCAAAAGAAGTACACATAAATACAAAACAATAGACACAATCCAGGAGTATATATGGTACTTGTCATAAAATGTGTAGCAGATTCATGAATGAGACACAGCGAAAGGCAGAGAGGGGTTAGGGAAGGTGGGCTTCCCATCCCTTAATGCCTGTAGCGTTCTTTTACCAGACTGGTAGCACTGTTCCTTCCCTGAGAGACTGCCACATGGGTGACATCTTTTATATTACTTCTACTTAGAGTGAACCAAACCTGCCCTTTGTAACCTCCATCCATCAGTCAGAGCCTGGCCCCTAAAGCAGCTCATGGAGGACCTCCTCCCTCTTTCAGAGCAAAATCCTTCAAAGGCTGAGGGGAACAAGCTACATCATTCCTGATATTTTTGCTAATTAGGCTAAGTACAGACTCCCTGTGATATGGTTTCCAGTTGTTTTTGCACTCGGGACACATGCTCCCAGACAATGACACGTGCCAGTGTCACTTTTAAAGGCAGTTCAACCAACCATACATGAACACATTAATGAACTTGGGAACTAAAATAAAGATATTTCCATCACTGAATAGAGAATATATTATAGAAGAGAAAGACCACTCAAGATGTGACCACTAAAGACAGTTGGAAGAACCAGGCAACAGGCAACCTTTCCTGGACTAAGGTAACAGTGAGATGGAAAGAGTGGGAGGATCGAAGATGCATCTGATGATAGAGGCACCAGAACCTGCTATTGTGCTGAAAGTGAAAGGAAGAGAAACGGAGAAGTGAAGGTTGACTCCCACGTCTTGATCTTAGGTGACTGGGTCATGGCAGTGACACGAACTGAGATGGGACATGTGGCAGGGAGGAAAAGTTAGGGGCAGGGATTGAGTGGGTGGAATCAAATATTCCACTTTGGAAAGCTAAATTTGAGATGCCCAGTAGATATTGAAGTGAGGATCTCTATTATACATCCATAAAATATATGTGTTTAAAGTTAAGGGCAGAGATTAACTATGAAAGTGTATATTTGAGAGCTGTCAGCCTAATGATGTCATTTAAGGCCATGGACCTCAATGAGACCATGAAGGGAAGGTACACAGGTAAGGAAGGGCAGAGACTGTGATGCTCAGCCCAGGGAATGTCTAAAATCTAGAGGCTGAGCTGAGAAGTTGCAAGGCAGAGAGACAGAATAAAAACAAGCATTGAGGTAGGGTGATCATCAGGAAAGAAAGAAAATTGAGAAAGAAAGAGAAGTGAACTTGTTGAATGGTGCCGAGAGGTCAAGAACAATGAAAAGAGAAATGGTTGTTGTAGTTCATGACCTTATCCATTCTCAGCAGTGGTAGCATCTAAAGCTTAATTGGGATGAATTCAGAGCAACAAGAGACACAGAGGTAGAGATAGTGAGCATCTGACCATACTATAGGAGATTTGGGCTGTAGAGGAAAGAGAGAAGAGATGGCACAGTAGCTAATGTGGGACACGGAGTGGAGGAAGCACGCTGGTTTGTTCATGTGTTTTCCCAGATATGAGACACTCAAGCCCATGTGAATATTCAGGGGAATGAACCAGAATAGAGAGGGAGAAATTGATGTTGCAGAGGAAGACTGCGCCTTTGAAACAGTGAAGGCTTTGACAAGATGAGTAGCATCAGAATGTGTAGCCCAGGGAGAAGAGCTGGCGTCACACAAGGACTGAAGACACCAATCCAGAGGCCAGGTAGAGGGTGTGCCAAGAAAGGTGCAAAGGTGAAAGACAGATGAGGAAGCTCAGAGCTGACAATTTTCCCAGTGAAGTGTGAGACTTGACCATCATTTAAGAGCGGATATTGCAGGCAACAGCCGTGTGGGGAGAGCAGAGAATATGTAAAATATGATCTTAGAGAGAGGGCAAGCGCACATGCCAGAGAGGCACACTAATATCTGGGCAGCGTGGAGTGCTCTTTAGAGATTTGTGCCCTGGAATTCAAAAAGAGTCCAGCAACGTAATTGCGTACTATTCTCCAGCCATTTTCACTAGTCCAGTTGAGGCAAGGAGTGTTTAGGTGGTTGACTTTATCCATCCTTGTCCTTGTCAGGTGAAACTGACAGAGGCCAGGGAGTGAGTGTACTTAAAGGAGAAAGATTACAGTGTGAGTCGTGTTACATCATCTGGCCTAGAAATAATGTACAGACATCAGGAGAGTGGAAAAGTATCAAAAACTGATGAGGGAAAAGATTGGGCATCTCCTTGAAGATGGAAAGTACTGGAAGAGGACTACTAAGGACATGTGTCATAAGGAGAAGAGGTAATAGAGAAAGGACCCATAAAATCAAGGCTGCAAGATGCACAGTTACTGATGGTCAGCAGTGTCTGCACAGGCAGAGAGGGATGGAAGGAAGGGACTTGGAAATGAGGAACTCACTGAACTGAGAGGCCAGGATGCTGTTGATGGGGAAATCAGTGTTTTCAGAGAAATCAGGTTTTGATGAGAACATGAAAGCGAAGGGAACATGGCAAGTATAAATAAATTTGATGATGATGGACTCCACATTCCAGCAGGCACCATGGAACGTTTTGTGTGAGTGAGATCGGGGGAGCAGTCGTACACATCATTAAAGGATAAGGCTCCGAGGATGAAGGTTCCACCAAGAAGACTGGGATTCTGAGAAGAGATCAAATCAAGAAGAAAGATATGAGCACACCAGGCCCATGATCTCTCAGCAGTTCCCATGACGTGGCCGACAAGAAGGTGAACAAACGTCCTCTCCGGGGCACTGTCGCGGGGGCCCTGCCTAAGAGAGGCCTCCAGCTCTGGTCTCCGTTCCAGGTAATCGGGTATTCTCTCCCCCAACTTTGTCTGCTCTGGCCATGATGGAAATTTCTCAACACCTCAAAGACACCATGATCCCCCACCTCAGTATTTACACCCCCAAAATCATCCCTCCTTTTGCTTCCCTTTAGCAAATTCCTACTCATCCCCTCAGGTCTCAACCAAAATGTCATTGATTCTTTTGCTCCAAGTGCACACTCCCAGCGTCTTCTACTTCTTCATGACACTTGAAATTTCTGCCTAATGAGTGTTTTCAGCTCCAGAGTGTAAGCTATGTGAGGGCCGTGACTACACACCCTTCTCTTCTCTGCCATCTTACCTGCAATATGAATTTCTACCTACACGGCACTCAATACTTTCTGCCAACAGACTGAGACGTTGTGGGCTGGTGCAGACGCAGCACAGAATGAAAGACCACGGGCTTAGAGCACAGAGCGGTCAGGACTGCAGCTCCCAGGCTGCCCCTTACTCGCTTTAGGGTGTAGGATGTATGACACGGCTACTCTTAGCCTCAGTTTCTTTATCTGCTTAACGAGATCACAATAGTATCTGCTAACAGTTTGCTGTGTGGATTAAATTTCATTATATGTGAAAAAAAAAAAACTCGACATAACGATAGCACCTAGCAAGTGATTTATATAACTGAGTTCCTATCTCTTACTCTCCTGACTAAGGAAACACAGAATAATAAATCGTGACTTAAGAGTGCAGTAATTACTCAGAAAGATTATCCCAGTGTTAGTTCATGCTCACACGTGTTCAATTCAATCTTCTGAGTATTTTTCACATAAATTGCAGTGAGCACAAGGTTTTTTTTTTTTCAGCATATTATGGGGGTACAGATGTTTAGGTTATGTATGTTGCCCTTGCCTACCCACTCCCCCCCAAGTGTGACCATCTCTTGGATGATGTGCATTGCACTCTTTGTGTATGCAAATACCCGTCTCCTCCTCTCCCTTCCCCCTACCCCCTCCCCCCTGCCCGACATCAAATAGATGTTATTCTTATATGTACGCGTATGTCTTGATCAGTTAATACCAATTTGATGGTGAGTACATGTGGTGCTTGTTTTTCCATTCTTGGGATACTTCACTTAGTAGAATGCGTTCCAACTCTATCCAGGAGTATACAAGAGGTACTATATCACCATTGTTTCTTAAAACTGAATAGTACTCCATATACATATATGTGGTATACATATACCACATTTTATTAATCCACTCATGTATTGATGGACACTTGGGTTGTTTCCACATCTTTGCAATTGTGAATTGTGCTGCTATAAACATTCGGGTGCAGGTGTCTTTCTTATCGAGTATCATTTGTTCTTTTGGGTAGATGCCCAGTAATGGGATTGCTGGATCAAATGGTACTTCTCCTTGTATCTCTTTAAGGTATCTCCATATTGCTTTCCACAGAGGTTGCACTAGTTTGCAGTCCCACCAGCAGTATATGAGTGTTCCTATCTCTCCGCATCCACGCCAACATTTATTGTTTTGGGACTTTTTGATAAAGGCCAGTCTTACTGGAGATAAGTGATATCTCATTGTGGTTTTGATTTGCATTTCCCTGATGATTAGAGATGTTGAGCATTCTTTCATATGTTTTTTGGCCATTATTCTGTCTTCTTTTGAAAAGTTGCTGTTCATGTCCTTTTCCCACTTTTTGATAGGGTCGTTTGATTTTTTCTTATTGATTTTCCCGAGTTCTAAGTAGATTCTGGTTATCAGCCCTTTATCGGATTTGTAGCATGCAAAAATTTTCTCCCATTCTGTAGGTTGTCTGTTTGCTCTTGTGACAGTTTCTTTGGCTGTGCAGAAGCTTTTTAATTTGATTAGGTCCCACTTATTTATTTTGGTTGTTGCTGTGATTGCCTTTGGGGTCTTCTTCACAAATTCTTTGCCTAGGCCAATGTCTAGAAGAGTATTTCCAACATCTTCCTCTAGAATTCTAATAGTTTCACTCCTTAGGTTTAAATCTGTTACCCAGCATGAGTTGATTTTTGTGAGAGGTGAAAGGTGTGGATCCTGGTTCAGTCTTCTACGTGTGGCTATCCAGTTTTCCCAGCACCATTTATTGAGTAAGGATTCTTTTCCTCAGTGTATGTTTTTGTCTGCTTTGTCAAAGATTAGGTAGCTATATGAGGATGGTTTTATATCTGGGTTCTCAGTTCTGTTCTACTGGTCAATGGCTCTATTTTTGTGCCAGTACCAAGCTGTTTTGATTACTACAGCCTTATAATAAAGTTAGCACAGGGTTTTTGCCTCTGAAACTGGATTGGAAAACATGTATCAAAAAATCTCCACCCAAAATTTATTCTGTAAGTTTATCACAAACTCATCACTTAGATTTGAAAATACAAAATTTCACCAACAACTACAGGGATAGGACAGACACATAGAAATAGACAAAACGTCACCTGCACATATGATGTAAGCTTCGTCCTTTGGAAAACAAGATTTGTGTTTCCAGGGATCAGAAGGACACTGCCAGAGGGAGGTAGCAGTTTTCCGACACCGGATTCCATCCACCCACCGGGGTCTAGAACCTTCTCTGATGGCAACAGAAGAGTTGAGAGTCCCGCTGTCCCCACAGCCAAGCTGTCTGCAAATGATGGACAAGGTCGTGGCTTCCATGGGGCTGTGGCACACACTGCCCCAGGTCCCGTTGTAGAAAACTTCCAGCCACCCAGCACACTTCAGGTCCCTGCTCACCATCCTGAGGGCCAGGAACTCTGCAATCAAAAGGAGAAAAGAGGGCACAGTAAGCTTTGCACTCTTGGTGCTGGGGGTTTTGTTTTTCTTCCTTCCTGTCTCGAAGGTGGTGAACACTCATCGCTGACTCTGCTGAGGAAGCGCCGCTATGTGGCAACACAAAAATTTTTCTCCCTTGTCTGATTTTGCCAATTTGTGCCTGTCTTTCTATTTCTACAATGATGTCGTGGAATATAAAGAGACCTGGGCACTCTGCAGGGAGGAAGAGCTGAATCCTGTCTACTGACTACACTTCTGGCAGACTCTATGAAAGGGGGTTTGGATAAGGGGTGGCGGGCACAATAATGGAGTCACAGATATGTTCATTCCTAATCCTCGCAGCCTGTGCATGCGTTACCTTGCATGGCAGGGGGACACTGCAAACATTACTAAGAAAAGTACCCCAGGGTGGTGACATCATTCAGGGCTATCCCGGATTAACCAGCCCAATCTCATCCCATCCTTGGACCTGCTATCCTTGAAAGCAGATAATCTTTTCTGGCTTTGGTCAGAGGGCAATGACACTATGTACGAATGGTCAGAGAGTTGAAACGCTGTTGGCTGGACAAGGAAGAGGGCTATGAGCCACAGAATGCAGGCAACTTCTGCAAGCTGGAAAAGGCAAGACAAGGAATTCTTCTCCAGAGCCTCAGAGGAATACAGCCCTGCTGACACTTTGATTGTGGCCCAGTGAGACCTGTGTCAGACCATGACCTCTGGAACTGTAATATAACAAAGTCGTGTTGTTTTAAGCCACTAACTCTGTGGCAATTTGTTACAGTACAGCAGCCATAGGAAAGGAATATGGTGAGCCTCAACATTTTGCTACCACAGGTTACTGAAGAGTGATCCCTACTTCCAGATGGAAACTCCGTAGAAAATGACCGTGCCAGGAAGTATTGCTGAGAAGGAAGGACCAGCACCTCAGCTGCTGAGGGAGGAAAAGAAAGCCCCTAATATGCACATCTGCTGGAAAGACAGGCACTGTGGAAGCAGCCTCCTTCCTTCTGGCCCTTTCAGCAGCTCCGGGTCTTCCCCCAGGGCTCAGACACCACCCTGGAGAGCCCCCCACAACTCCCCCAGCCTGTGGACACTGTGGCCCCCAGACCTGAGCAGATGACCCCTGCGTCCTCCTTGTGCCTGCAGTCGTGCTGCCCCCAGCCCCGGGAAGGGCACTTCCACACGTGGGACTCCTTTCCTGTGCAGTTCAGGTCGTCCAGCCAGATGGGCCCTGACCCCTCCCCAAAGTGAGCAGAGCCCAGGGCTTTCAGGGCCTCTCCACAGCCCAGCTGTCTGCACACCACGTGGGCGTCACTCAGGTCCCAGCTGTCATCACAGATGGTGCCCCAGGAGCCCTCATGGTAGATCTCCACTCTCCCGGCACAGCGACCACCCCCGTCCACCAGGCGGAGCTGTCGGCTCTCTGAGGAGAGACAGAGCCATGTTAGTGGGGCGTTCGTACAGGAAATAAGAAAGGCTTCTGGTCCTGTGGGACCTCTCACCTGAGCAGTTGGCAGCACTCTCCTCCAAGGCTGCAGGGGCTGCTGGGTCAGACAGGGAGTCACTGCGCTGGGGCAGCAGCTGGGTCTGGTGTCCTGCAGAGAGGGTTAGAGAGCAAGAAAGTGAACTCAACTGGAAATAATCTAGTGATGGAATCTGAGATGAAAACGGCTACCTAGGAATAATGACCATATCTTCAGGGTTAACTTTCTGTATGAAGATTTCTGCTTCTGACAATGCCAAACTTTTCTAAGTCAATCACTAGGGATGACTTTAGAAAGGCAGAAATGTATCGATACTGTGAAAACATTGTAGAACTCCCAGGCTGTAAGAATTTTGAAGCCAAGCTCTCAGAGAGAAGTAAAGGACTGGATGAGCACTTTCCCTTGAAGCATTTGCCAATTCAAAGGTGACAGCTGAGATTCTGAAAAGCTCAGCAGAAGTTTTGCCAGATTCGCAGAGCTGGGGCAATAGCATCATATTAAATAATTCAGGGTCTGTCGTGCAGGAGCACCCCTGTTAAGCAACCAGAAAACTTGTACCATAGAAGGAAGTGGGACCTAAAAGTAGACTGTTCCCTACAGGCATGGGTGTTCAACTTCTGATTGCCTCACTTCCTTTAAATAAGGTGTTCTTCCCCTAAATCAGGTGCTTGGAAGAAGCAAAATACAATCCTTTTGGAAGGATTTCTATAACTTTTTATCTATAATATCTGTCAATCAGAAAAATTCAGGTGTATCTACAAAAGTGAAACTCATAGAAGTAGAGAAGAATGTTGGTTACCAAATGCTGGCGGGTGTGCTGGGGAGAGATGGGGAAAGGGTGACGTTGGTCAAAGGGTACAACATTTCAGTTAGACAGGAGGAATAAGTTCTAGTGATCTACTGCATGGCATGGTGACTGGTTATTTATAATGCATTATATATTTCAAAATTGCTAAAAGAATAAGTTTTAAATGTTCGCACCACAAAAAAACAAAAATAAGTAGGCAACATGATGGATATGTTAATTACTCAATTTAGTCATTTCACAATGTACAAGGGCTATCCAGAAAGTACCCAGCCATTGTTAATACTATTTGTCATATTACATGGCTGGATACTTTCAGGACAGGCATATATATACATATATATGTATATATATGTACATATTGCGCATACATATGTATGTGCATATTGTGTGTGTGTATATATCTCAAAACATCACATCGTACTCCACAAATAAATATAATCATTTGTCAATTAAAATTTTAAAAAACAAAGACACCTGGTATGTGCTTTTTAATTATAATAAATTTTATCTACAAACTAAAAAAAAATACTTGGATGCATAAAGCCACAATGACAATGCTAAGAGTAGAAATTAGAAAATCCACAATCACAGTGGGAGATATTTAATACACCTATGATGGTTTTTCAACATATCCACAAAATATTTGACACTGCATCCATTGAGAGGCTGAATCTATGCCTCCTTCCCTTAAATCTGGGCTGATTTTGGTGAGTTGCCTGTAAGAAGTAAAATGTACTGAAGGTTACACTGCTTGACTTAGAAGACTAGGTCAGAAAAGCCATGCAGCCTCCCCTGATTGACTTAGCACATTTGCTTTAGGGGAGGTCTACTCTGTTGAGACTTTGTGCTGGAGAGGCCACATGCAGGAGTCTGGCCAGCTGCCTCAGCCAAACTTCCAGCTGCCAGCCATGCAAGTGAGACATCTTGCGTTCCTGGTTCAGTCAACTCTTCAGACTTGACCCCAGCCCCAGGTGATAATCTGACCGCAACATCATGACAGACCCCAGGAGAGAACTACCAAGATGAGCCATTCCCAAGTTCCTAACCCAGGAAATCATTAGAAAAATGAAACGTCCTTTTTTGTTGTTTTCAGCTGCTAAGTTTTTTGGCAAGTTTTGTTATGTAGTAATAACAACCAGGACACTTACACTTACTATATTAATAAGTATTTACTACAGACAAATGAAAATATTTCTCTTTAAAAGGACTTGTACGTGCATGTTCACAGCCTCTTTTTCCATAGCAGACCGAAACTGGGATGCCTCCTGCCATTGCTGCCATCGCTTTTAGGACAAAAGCTGGAAGGGCCTCAAGGAGGCTATTAGCAAAAACCTGATGAGCTCCACTAACACTAATGCTGTTAGTGAGGACTTAAAGTGGGTGAGAAAAATGTGATAGGAAGCTGGAGGGAAAATGAACAGTGATCTGTGTTATGTAAAATAAAATAGTTGCTTTAAGTGGATAGATTTTTAAGAAACTTATTATGCAGCAACATACAGACAACACCTTCTATCAGTCTCAGTAACTGATAGTACAAACCAGCAGAACAAGTCAGTAAATATTCAGAATATAGTCTTGCACTACATAATGACGTTTCAGTCAACAACAGACCACATATACAACAGTGGTCCTATAAGATTTTATAATAACATATTTTTACTGTACCTTTTCTAGGTGTAGATACGTTTAGACACACAAATACTCACCACTGTGTTACACCTGCCTACAGTATTCAGTACAGTAACTTGCTGTACAGGTTTTGGCCTAGAAACAATAGCCTATACTATATAACCTGGGTGTGTGATAGGCCATACCATCTAGGTTTGTGTAAGTACACTCTATGATGTCAGCACAACAAAATCACCTGACGACACATTTCTCAGAACGAACCCATGGCATTAAGTGATGCATGATCGAATGACATAATTTAACAAATATACACCTCAAAACTGCAGACTACACAATATTCTCAAGGGCATACAGGCCATTTACCAAGGTTAATCATATGTTACACAAAAAAATTTTCAAAGGTCTGAAAATCATTCAAAATGTGTTTATGGCCCCAGTAAAATTAATCTGAAAATGAACAAACAAACAAAAGACAAATAGTAAAATCGACTATAATGAGATATAATTATCATATAATAAAACACAGTTGAACCTTGAACAACACAAGTTGGAACTACACAGGTCCACTTATATATGGATTTTCTTCAGCTTCTACCACCTCTGAGACAGCAAGACCAACAACCCTCCACTTCCTCCTCCTCCTCAGCCTACTCAATGTGAAGACGAGGACAAAGACCTTTATGATGATCCACTTCCACTTAATGAATAGCAAATATATTTTCTCTTCCTTATGACTTTCTTAATAAAATTTTCTTTTCTCTAGCTTACTTTACTGTAAGAATACAGAATAAAATACAGTATATAATACATACAACATACAGAATAAGGAAAAGGGGGCAGAGCAAGATGGCTAAATAGAAACCTCCAGCAATCGTCCCTCTGCATAAACACTAAATTCAACAACTATCCACGCAAGCAGGCACCTTCAGAAGAACCAAAAATCAGGTGAGCGATCATACCGCCTTGTTTTAACATTATATCAAGAAAACAGGCCCTGAAGAGGGCAGAAAGACAATCTTACATTGCCTACAAAACCCTCTCCCATCCCCTGGCAGTGGCTGAGTAGAGAGAGAATCTGTGTGCCTGGGGGAGGGACGGCGAAGTGATTGTGGGACTTTGCACTGAAACTCAGGGCTGCCCTGGCACAGGGGAACACAACAAAGGGAAGAATTCTGCCAGTGCCCACGGAGAGAGCATTTAGACAAGTCTGGCCAGAGGGAAATCCTCCACCCCAAACCCAAGTTCCTGCTAACCCCACCACGATTTGACAAAAAGCAGTCTGAGGCCTGGACTAAATTTGTAAGGCAGTTGGACAACAAAGGCTGCGGTCCTTGGGCAATTCCTGCTGCTGTGCTCAGAGCCAGTGGACTTGGGGTGCACATGACCCAGCAAGACACCAGCAGCTGTGGCCAAACCAGTGCCTATGTCACCCCTCCCCCAACTATAGGCATAGCTGAGGGACAGTCTTCCTCCACTTGGGGAAAGGAAAGGGAAGAGCTCAAAGGACTTTGTTTTGCAACTTGGGTTGCAACTTGCAGCTCAGCCACAGTAAAATAAAGTACCAAGCAGTCTACTGAAGCCCAAGTCCAGGCCTTAGTTCCTGGAAGGCAATTCAGACCCACCCTGGGCCAGAAGGAAACATGCTGCCCTGAAGGGAAGGACCCAGTCCTGGCAGGATTTACCCCCTGCTAACCAAAGAGCTCTTGGGCTTTGAATAAACATTAAAGGTATCCAGGCAACAGTCACCACTGGCTTTGAGTAACACTGGGCTGGCTTCAGGTGTGACCTGGCACAAGGGAGTGCCCATGTCACTCCTCCCCCAACTCTAGCAGCCCAGCACAGAGAGTGAGGAAAGAGAGTAAGAGACTTCACCTGGTAACCCATGGAATTCTCCCATATCTTACCCAAGTCCACAAAGGTGGTATCACCCGGAGTCTTCAAGAGTCACAGCGTTACTGGGCTTGGGGCACCACCAATACTTACATGCCTGCAGTGACCAAAGACTTAATTCCCTTAATTCACAACACTCAATTCCCTTTGACTATGTGGAAAGCCTTCTGAAGAAGGACAAGTTCAAACAAGCCCACACTGTGAAGATTAAAATAAATGCCTAACTCTTCAATGCCCAGACATCGACAAGCATCCACAAGAATCAAGAACACCCAGGAAAACATGATCTCACCAAATGAACCAAATAAGGTATTAATGCCAGCAACCGATTCCAGAGTGATGGAGATCAGTGAACTTTCAGACAAAGAATTCAAAATAGTTGTCCTGAAGAAGTTCAATGAACTTCAAGAGAACACAGAGAAGGAATTCAGAAGCTTATCAAAGAAATTTAACAAAGAAATTGAAATAATAAAAAAAATCAGAAATTCTAGAATTTAAGAATTCAATTGACAAACTGAGAAATGCATCAGAGTCTCTCAATAGCAAAATTGACCAAGTAGAAGAAAGAATTAATGAGCTTGCAGACAGGCTACTTAAAAATACATAATCAGAAGAGAAAAAAGAGAAAAAGAATAAATAAGAATGAAGCATCACTA